TTTTTGAAACGATTGTGACGTTTTGAAGAGCCAAATACAAACAAAAGCGATTTTCAAGGTAAGTTAATACTTAATTAGTAAATGAAGCACTGGATACCCCTTAGAGATGGGGTGGAAAGCGGAAGACAGTTGTATAAAATAAGAACAAAATGTTTTCCCGAAAATTTCCTTGGTTGACCAGCACAAGCAGGTTGGGAAAGAAAGAAATCTACTGCTCTTTCCATGACGCGATTTCCCAGGGGAAATACCAAATATTGGATATTCTTAGGAATAAACAGCGTGCTGGGTTAGTCATGTATTTAAGTCTGTTTATCTAGATGTGATCAGGTGCTGTTTCAAAGTACAGTTTATTATTTTCTTCGAACATGGTCATGATTTTAGCCTGAAAACCACAGTGGTACGAGCAAATCTAAAATTGTTAGAGGTCTGTTAACTACTTTTCCTTGAGCTCAAACTAGGTATTTCTGATTTGTGATCTGAATTCCACCTGTTCCTAGTTAAAGAAGTTCTATATTTAGGTTTCTACGTGTCCGCACCATCTAAATGCAATTGTTTTAAATAAGTCATAGCAGAAGAAAACAGTTTTTGACACTCATTTACAATCTTTTAAAGATTTAAAAGGTTTTTTAAAGATTTAAAAATGGTTAACTATTTGCCAATCGGAGTAATTTATATACAACTTCTAGCTAGACGAGGTCTTGGCGCCAGTGAAATGTTGCTCTGGGGTAGATATTATGCACGTCCCGCTGTGCTCCCAAAATGCTGGGAAGTTGCCTACCAGAATTCCCAAAAGATTGCCAAAAGAGTGCCAAAATCCAAAACGTTGCTACCCAAATTTTAAAAGCTTTTACCTGAATTTCTTGATTATTTTGGAAGAAAAGGTAATCAAAGTTTTTATTATTCGTTCTCCACAATAATCACCAACTTTACTGTAGAAAAATATTTTTATAACTTTCCTTTAAAGAAATACACGTAAACATGGGAAAAATTTAAGGATATTCATGACTTAAGTCGAACTGACGAGTTCCTCTTAAATGCCAGCGAAATTTAAGGATATTCATGACTTAAGTCCAACAGGAAAAAACACATGCCTCATCTAGTGTCTTGTCGAACCAAACGATGTCAAATGACAGGTTGTGTGTTCAAAAGGTTGAGAAACATTCGAGAAATTTGTTTTAATTGAAGTTTCATATGAAATCGTTGACATGTTTCTGCTCAATTGACATGTGCTCTAAACTTTATCATGCGACAACATTTCTCAAATATACAAATTCAAAATATTCTCGCTGTTACCAGAATCGCAAAAACTTCCTCCAACGCCAAAAGTTGCTTAAAAGTTGGCGAGCACAATAGGGACAGGTATTGCATTTTTTTAAGGAAGACGCTAAGAAAGGTCGTGGTCGTTAATTGATATTTATTAAGGATTTCTTGGGAAAAGAGATCTTGAACTTTTACTGTGGATGTAGAATAGCTAAAGTTAATAGTGTTTTCGATTTCCAAAGGGGCTTAATGTGGACGTTTTAGACGCCTGTTAACAGTGTGTCATTGGTGTCCTGGTATTACCCGGTCAATCTAAACTGATCACGGACGATCTGGGTACAAAGAATCATGTAACTTAAAGACAGGTGGCAGGATTTGGAGAATTCTAGCCAAGGCAATGATATTGCCAAAAAGTTAAACACGAAGGCGCGCTATATAAGGAGCCTTAGGTCCCACTGGACCATTTGTCAATCAACTGTCGTG